TCACAACTAGGAATTGTCTTAAACCGCCAGATCTGTCTTCAGCCGCTAGAACAACCTTCTGTCCAACTTGACTGATTCATCTGCACGCTGTTGCTGATATACTGATCTTGTTCAAGACTGCTGTAGACCTCCATAGGTAAGTACATTCATTATATTTGGTCACGCTATCATGACTGACATTGGGTCTTTAACCAGACTCTTCTCGCTCAAGACTCCTGTCGCCCTTTACAGTAAGTTTCTTTACTACATTGATTCATGCTATCATTACTGACATCACACCATCATCAGATTTCTCTCCAATCTTTCAAGACTCTCTTACTATTGGTAAGTACATTCGTTATTTGGTCACGCTATCATGACTGACATTGGGTCTTTAGCCAGACTCTTCTCGCTCAAGACTCCTGTCACCGTTTACAGTAAGTTTTTTTTACTACATTAATTCATGCTATCATTACTGACATCACACCCTCATTAGATTTCTCTTCAGTCTTTCTTCAAGACTCTCTTACTATCTGCCTTCGTGGTTGCGTTTAAATCGGCAGTGACTTCAAGTCATTGTTTGATTTAAGTTTCCTTCCTCAGTGACTGTGAGTCGCTGTGTGTTTCCCCATCCTCGATATTCCTGGAGCTACCATCATGTTGATTCCTGTCTTCAAGCCATTCATGCGCGATGGCGACCGTGCGTTTTAGCTTCTTCGTACCTCTACTGCTCTTGACTGATGACGTCCAGGTTACCTGACTGCCACTGATGCTTTCTGTGTGGCTACATATGCCCACCGAGTGATCACAACTCCTAACATGAAATTCATTCCTCAACCCTTCGACAACGAATCCAATATCATTCAAGCACGTGCAGATGGTAGATATTGGGCCCTGGATCCCTTCCAGTGGCCACAGATGTATGACGACTTGTACGCTCGAAGTTTTGCAATCCCACGCCGGGAAGCCTATGCGGACGACGCAAGCATGACATATGCATGGTTCAAACCAACTTTCTCAAGTGACTTCATTCCCCTTTCCCCCAGCAATCTTTTTGGTCAGCTCAAGACCGATGTTGTCGGCCATCTCAAGTGATTGTACGAGAAGGCCAACACGCGGGTGAGCAATTACAAGGTTGCTAGGATGCACAAGGAGGATCATGTTGTTGGGTGGGTGCATGCGATGCGCGCTGTCTACGAGTGCTTCCAGCAAGCCATGGCCTGGTGTGACATTGTCATAATCATTGCTGAATATCAGCGCCGGTTTCTCGATATCTGGGCGGTTCTAGACTATTACAAAATTATTGAGCCCCGCATGCGATTCGTCGACACTACGCATAAGGTTGACCCTAGATGGATGGGTTGTTTCACTGAAGATGTCGCTATCACCACGAAGGTGCACGCTGCTGGAGTTCCTGTCTGGCTTATCCGCGATGCCAGACTTGTCAATTCCAACATGAACATCATCAAAGTCATTTCCTTCACACCACCCGATGACCTCGTCGTTGGCATGTACCACGATCCCATCAAACTCTTTGCTCAACCATTTGACATCATCACCAGAGGTCCCAATAATTGCCGGCGTCATGAGGCCGCTCGTCAGCCGTATTCCAACTTTGAGAAGTTGCTGGTTCCAAAACCCCAAGTGGAACAGCTGGTAACGAGGGAGTCATTGGTAGGAAAGGCTCGTGTAGACAAAGGGAAGGCCAAAATGAATGCCAAGCCTGCGCCATGTAAGTTCAGTATTCTTATTCCATGGTTGTTGTGTGTAATTAATTCGTCAGACAATGCAACCGCTCCCCGTTAGAATAAAGTTGTTTCTGGCCGTGACAAGTGGTCTGATGTTGATCACCCTTTCATGCCACCAATGAATTCTTTCTTCAAGATAGCATTGGAGGAAGTGAAGAAAGAATTCCTCCATATCAAGCATCCCAGATACAAAATGGACGATGGTTACTCGCTTCCCGATCCAGGGTTATTCGTTAACGTTCTTTCCCCGCAATCCTTGGTGAAGTACCTTGCCAACTGGCTGACATGCCGCCCAAGTTGGATAGAACATGTCTATGATGAAAGGCCTCGACCTCTTCCTTGTGCCCAGAGCTGGCGCAATTTCTTGATATCTCAGCACGCTCAGGATCTTTCGAACATGCAGACCTCTGGCAAGACCAGCAAGTCGAAAGCAGCGACTGCTTCACTTTTCCAAAAGGAAGTTCCGGTACTGCGGGCCTTGTGGGCAGCACCCACAAATGTTCACTGGTGTGGAAAGGACATAGCCATTTCCATGCTCGACAATCCCCCCGCAGATCTCACACGCCAAATCGTGTATGAAATCTGCGAGCAAAGTTTCCGATATGAACTTCTCGACCTGGATGAACATCTTGGGTGCGAAGCACGTAAGGACAAGGAGGCGAGGAAGGAAAGGATGGAGCTTCTTCGTAGCATTTTCCCGTCGAAGTCATTGAAAGTTTGGAACAGGGATTTACCACAAGAGAACGACGGACTCAATGCGCCATCTTTCGCCGCCACTTTACCATATTTCGAAAGTTTCCACAAGGTGTTGTCAATGTGGGAGCACTTTCCCGAGTCCCTCAAACAACCTTTTGATGCTACCGGATGTGAGCACAACATATGGATGGGGATGAAGGAATGCTGTCTCTTCTACGTTCAGTCTTATTTTGACAATACTGGCCGTCCACCTATCGTTCCTCACTTACTGTATTCGGTCGCCTAGATGTTGATGCTGTGTGCTCGTTTCCCATTGCAATGATTGTGCTCTTACGGATTTAATGTACATATCCCCAATAGTCAATAATTTGTATACCATCATGTGTCACTAATGCTGTTTCATCCATATGGGACTTTGTCATGGTCAAACAGGTTATCTTAGACATCAACATTTATTTTCCCCATACCGCTAACATTTCAGTTTCACAGAACAGAGTGTACACAAACAGGTAGAGTTCCTTCCTTCACGTTTGCTAGCCCTCATTTGCTCCAAAGGTTCATCGACGTATTCGCCCACTTTTTCGTTTTTGTATTTGATGTAAGTTTGGGACTTTGGGTTCCTCTGAGGGTTCAGTAGTTGACTTTGTGTCGACACTGACCTTAGTGCAGGCTTCATGCTTGCCTTTGACTATCTCATAGTCGACTTCGTGTTGACACCAACCTTAACGCAGGCTTCGTGCTTGCCTTTGACTATCTCATAGTCAACTTCGTGTTGACACTAACCTTAACGTGGGCTTCGTGCTTGCCTTCGACCATCTCTTAGTCGACTTCATATTGACACTAACCTTGACGCAGGCTTCGTGCCTGGCTTTCAATATCTCGTTATGGTCTCATCCAACCCTATTGCTGGGCCGTCCACTCCAACCTCTCACAATACGCAGCACAAACTCGTCACTTCTTCAATGGCGAAGAGGAGGTGGCAACTGCAGCAAAGCAGCAACTTTCATCTTCCTATAGCCCCCCCACTACTCGTACTTCCCAGAAGAAAACACCTTACACAACAATCACTCAACAATCCAGGAAGGTCACAGCAGCAACAGCCTTTCTGCGATGCTGATTCTGCTAACCAGCATGATAGCCCATCCGCTGGGAATATTTTAGACCGTGAAGAATGCTCATCTTTCTACAGCTCACTACACTACATCTCCGATGCTGATTCAATCCTACCTTCCCGCTCGAATGGCCGCCAAAAGAAGATGAATCAGTGGCGATGCTGGACAACTGAAGTCATTCCTTCCTTGATCACTTCATACCTTGCATACTTGCGTAAATCGACCTCTCTTCGCGATTGAATTGAACTGCAGCCAGATGAAGTTGCTGCCTTTCAGTGCAAATCCTCTTGTCGACGGAGGGTTCTCGAGATCACTTGTGTACTCTTCAATCATATGTCTCTCTTATTACCTGAGTTATTGGTTGGCTGATAATATCATAGATATTGAGATATTACGAATTGATTGCTGCGCTTGCGCGCCTGCTCCCCTTCAGCTCCTGTCTCGCAGTTACTTTGCCTGCGCTCCCATCGCTCCTTCCCTCGCTGTTGACCTTCAGTTGCTGGAACTTGTCAAGACGTTGTTCGTACATATCACTCCCAACACAACTGCTTGGTGCGAAACACTCGAGGTTTTTCTGGCTGGCCGCGGGTATCACCTTACCACCAAGGTGAGTTGAGCGCCTATACTGAGTTCTGAAGGATCAATATCTTTATAGGATAATCTTCTTCGTCGGTTTGGTAACGCTTATCATTGGTACTCTGTACTCTGCATGAGTGCTGAAGATCACTTGTCCAATCTCATTGGAACTCATCGCCCACTTTCACCGCTGTCGACTGAGGGACTAACACATCCAAGTGACTATCTAAGGTCTCGTTGTCCGATTTGTTTTGGCTTGGATGATTGGCAAAAAAAGTAGAACCCTTAATCTCAAGTAAGTTGTTTCAATATTAGGAACTAAAATAATTCTAAATTATACAATAGACCTGACGTCCATACTTGTATTGACGCATGTTTCACTCAAAAATGTTCAGCGGACCAATGCGGTGGAGGGCCAGATCCCTCAAACCCAATTAGATCAGTTTTCCTTTCGGATGATGAGGTGACATTGATGGAGGTCCATGTGTGGAGTTGTCGCAGCAGACCCCTTGATTGGGGTCGCAAGAGAAAGCAACCTGCAGCCACAGAAGAGGAGGGGGATGACTATGAGGATGGCATGCGAGTCCCGACCTCTGCGCTAGATGGCTGTGGTGAATCTTTTCTTGCTGCTGATGAGAAACACGAAAAGGCTAGCACCCAATTTTTTGCAGATACAGGGGTGATGGCCATGTTATGTCGGCACGATCGTGTATTATGGCTTGCCAACATGATGTCGGCAGGAGAAAAGCAGCACTACGCTCTCGCTTTGATCAAGAAGCTTTTCGACAATCTCCCTACCAATATGACCGTTGGCCTCTTGTATGACATTGGCTGTCAGCTTCATCGAAGTTGTCTCAAGTACTGACTCCTCGATGATGTGGTTCTTCGCCGTATAACTTTCGCGATATCAGTCTTCCACGCTTACGGCCACCAATGGGCATGTCAAATTATATACCATCCTCGCAAGTGTGAAGGCTTTGGCCTTTCGGATGGAGAAGGTTGCGAGTGTTTATGGAGTGCGCTCAAACACCTTATTGCTCCGCTACACATTTCTGGGGTGAGTGTTCTCTGTTTTGAGAATGGTTGCATATGGGCTATAGCCGTTCATGACCATATTTACCATGGTCGTATTATTTATTCACCCCTGACTATAAACTACATGTTTGCTACTTACTGACCACCTTTTCAGTTTCATCAGCAACTTTTTGTCCTCAACACTCAAGTCCGGCACCTAGATAACAAGAACCTTAGTTTGTACGGCAACTGGTTGAACCGGAGGTGGAATAACTGCGTCAAGAAGAAGAGTACTGCAGCACAGGCACTACGTGAGCTTTCAGTCGATGAGACCTGTGTATGACAGGAATGGAAATTGCAAGTTGAATATCAGACGAAACCCCTGCCTCGTAAGTGCTACTGCTCATGATGTACGATTACAATATTGATGCACGTTATCTCGACAGGAAGATTGAAGACAAATAATGACGAGGAAATTACAAAAATTCTCTCCCTTGAGAAATCTCTCGTTGAGATTGATGGAGCATTGCGACGCATGGAAACGCAACTTTGTATGGGAAATGTCGATAATCTCACTGAATACAACCTTCGTCTCACTGAGGAGCGCGCTGTCCTGCATGATATGGGAATCATGCAGAACACATACATGACATATTATCCCACATATCTATAGTCTGTTAGCTTTGTCCTCAGACTACACAAAAATGTACTTTGAGTATAGACTCAAGTGCAACAGAAAGCTTTGTGTGCTCCAATCACACAAAAGTACGGTGTTTTGAAGAAAAGTCAAATATGATGGAGAAATCATTTATTGACATAGTCCAAGTAATAGGCGCATAAAAGCTCAGGTTATTACCCAACTTTTGGCTTATTTACTTTGACTACAAATAACCAAGGAGAAAAGTTAAAAGCTTACAAAAACCCTATCAAAAGGCCTGTGTTTTTGCTTTGTTTTCTTTTATGATTATTCCTACCTTATTTTCTCTATGTTTTCTTTTGTTTCTTTACCTATATGATTCATTGACATCCCAGATGCCTCATAAAATGTACCTACAGGGTATGATGTCATAATGATGTCATATGGCTCCACAGATAGTTCTGGCCTATTCTGTTGGTTTCTCTGATGCCACCCATGATGTCATAGTGATGTCATTGGATGCTAGAATGTTCTGCTCCACCTGGCTCCACTTGGCTCCACTTTTGCTCCACATTGCTCCGCAATGAGGTCATTTATGATGCAATTCTGATGTCATTTCTCTTTTCAATCTTATTTCTTGGTACTATACAGTTTCTCCCATCTCATGTATAAAAGGAGAGCCAATCTCCACCCAAAAATATAAGAATTTACTTTCCTATCAAATATCTGAAGGAATCCCCCCCTCACATTCTTCCACTTTCTCTGACATTGACACTCTTGTGTTAGCCAGAAAGTGCAGACCAAGTAACTAGACTTGCTCTGAGATCATTTACTCTTTTCTTGACTGTACCTGTACTGTCTAGTGTGCATCTGATATACGTTTCAGAGGACTAGAAGTATCAAGTCAAGCCATTTATCTGTGCCTGCAGATTCCTTTGTTGGATTATCTGCATACGTATTTTCAGTTGTATAACTCGTAGTTGTACGCACCCATTGTATTATTGCAGTTGTATAACACACGGTTGGTTATACACTATCATCCTATTAGTTTGGATACATCCTTTGTATTTTACTTCAAAGGAGTCCAAACCAGCATCTTTGATTTGTATCGCACGGTCATACAAATCTTTCTATTTCCCATCAACAAGTCCTTCATATTTAGGTGGGGGAAATTCTAGCAATATCTGCTACATCCAGTTGCAACCAGTTGCACAATAGTATGCACCTCACATCACTTATCTGTCTAGTCAACAAAAAGGACTAGAGAGACTTATTTGTATCAAGTATTTTCCATCTAGCCATAGGAAAGGCTAGATATTCCTCTACAAAGTCTACATTATCTGTCTTGCCAGATAAAGTTAGATTTCTCTTGTAGAACATCTACTGTTCTAGGTAGAATCACACCACCAGGCTGTATAAGCAGGTAACCTCCCACGAACGACGCGTTATCTACCACGAAAGAAGAAAAGTCGTAGACCGCGAACTTGAGGTTGTTTGGCAGCATCTAGTCTTATCAAAAGTATAATTGTGGTGTCATTGCCTTTTGACCACTTTTATATAAGACACCTCAAGTAAGAAGACAGCGCTCACCGATCAAGAGTCGCAGACACTTTGAGCTGCTGGAAGACACGACTTGGCATTAGTCAGCGCACCCATCTAGAACAACTACATCGCAATGTATATCTACAAGTCCATTTAGACGCTCAAGCTCTTAAAATGTGTATCCGCGAATGACTTTGACAGCGCAAGTTTGAAATTGAGAAGCTTGAACACTGTTACAGGCAAACTGTGAACGGTACTTATATTCTAAGTTGTACATATGGACCTCAACTGATTGCACTTTTTTGTCACAGAGCACAAGCTTAATTCTCATGTGGATGCCGCAATCCAGCGACACAATCCTACCATATGAAAGCTCGTGTCCTCATACAATAACCTATGTACAGATCTTAGCGCTCTTATCAGACAGTGCCGCAGTCCTCTGAATGCTATACCACCTAACCCCATCTCTCCTATCGGTATTTTTGATCTTGATATTGATGCTGACATTTGGGAGGACGTTGGACTCAACGATGTCGTGCCGGACCCCCCTGATTGGTTAGCTGATGAGGTCACACGTGCCGCGATCAAACTGTTGCTTGAGATTGACCAATGCAATGAAGAAGAGTCTCGTGTCAAGGTTGAGCGCTGTGCTCTGCAAGAGTGGGCTATTCTTGAGTGGGATGGTCTACAGAGGGCCCGTGCACATGCAAGTAAGTTTTTTTTCGCACCTGACTAATATTCCATGCTGACTTTTGAAGACGATGATGAAGTAATCCTCTATCACATGAATTGCCGTGCTCGACAGTTCATTGTCCTTGTACTGGGGTGGCAGACAAAGGTTCGTCCCATTCCATGTGCGTGGCCTATGCCTGACTGTTTGTTACAGTAACATGGCATGAGTCCCCCGCCAGCAGAGAGCCCTCTGCCACCGCACGGCTATAGACGATACCGGAGCCTCACCAGCTCTATAGACGACAGATGACGATAGATGTGATAGACGATAAGCGGCAACTGCCGGCTTAGATAAGCGGTCTGGACCGCACGTGACATGACATGACGACATAGGTCTAGAAGACCTATTTATGTTATCAAGATAGAAGGATACCACGTGGATCCTATCTCTGATGGAAGCGTACCGCATGGACGCTATCTACGATAGAAGCCCGCCTCATGGACGCTATCTCTGACTCATGTAGATAAGCAGATTAGAACCCAGCTTCGAGCTGAGCTTAGATACGATAGAGTAGCCTTATATAAGGTCGAAGATTAAAGTAGACGTTCCTTACTTTAATCTTACTAGGTTTACCCTTGAACTCCTTGTCCCGCTAAAGCTACCTGCTCGACATCGACTCGTACCTTCAGTGACGCCTCTCACTGTCTGTAAACCCTGCTATCATCTCAGCGTAACCCCTCGTTAACCACCACGAGCTACGTTCGAGTACGCAACCTTTGCTTGTCTGTAAAGGCCGACGACTCTCAGCACTCGGTACCACTGTCGTGGTTGTCGCTGTTAGATTATCCTAGTTGCACACGACCGTTTGTCGTAACAAAAGATTAAAGTTCAACTCGCACGTCACCCATCTGTGACGCCAGATCCCTGATCGTACCTATCTTCAAAAGCTACCGAAGATCTGTAGAAGAACCCCGAAACGTACCGGCCTGACCAGTCACAAGAATATAAGAACCGCTGTCACAGTAGAAGACTTCCTGCTCGGAACACTACGAAGATCGAAGATAACCATCTCCAATATGGCAACTTCCCGAAACACCCTGGCCGCTTCCTACCTTACGGGAAAAGAAACTCGTATCTACCTGAACGAGAAGAGATGCTTTGTATGCCACGTCATTGGCCACAAAGCCGCGGGCTGCCCACAGTGGCCCAGAACCCCGCGGAGAAAGATGATCAAAGAAGACCTCCGGTTGAACTCTATCAAAGAGACCG